GTCTTGAGTACATGGTTGTCCCGTATTCCCTGACACTTCTACCTGACCCCTTGCAGGGAAAGGGCTGGCGTGTGCTCCACTTCCATCCACAGCTGAATATTGCATACACCAACTACCTCAACAACTATGTCTCGCTTAGTCATGGAGAATGAGCTTAACAGCTAGAGCCTGTTCTTATGTACTGTGTCTGTATTTCAATATGACCACTACAGAAACCATGTTGAGAAACACTAAAAATATCTCTTTTTCTTCTGCACCTGTATTTTAATACAGCTGTTATGGTTGTCATGTACAAGCACTGGGACTTTGGTAAGACTTGATTTGTTACAGATAAACTGGCTGTTGTCATCACTAAATGCTGAAGGGATTGGACAGTTGTTCTAGGGTCCTGTTCTTCAAGGTCATGGAAAGGCATGGCTCATCTTTACTCCCTCCCAATAAGGGGCATTGTGGCCCACTTGTCTGAAGTCTTCAAATAGTCCCTGGGGTCACGTGTTGCCCTGTTGTCTAAGTACCACAATTCGCTGTGCAGAGTTGCGTCCCTTGGACACACCTGAAACATACGATCATGAGTTCGAATCCCCTGATTATGTTTCTAGGTTTGTCAGCAACATACTTATGCTTGTGGGTTTCACCAAAGTGGTAAACATCTAAGACCTGCATCACTTTTTGGTTTCCTCCCACATCAAGCTGACACAGTGTTTTATGAATGGAATACTGTTCCAAGCAGAGCTAAACCCAACCCTCATTGAAATAGTCCTGGATGCCAGGATCCTATTGTCAGTGGTTTTGAATGAGACCCACTTATGATCCTTGGTTTGTCAGCACAAAATTGTGAATGGCTACATTCTATGTCACTTAGGTCTTCCTTATGTACAACATGGAGGGAAATAACTAAATCACTGTTCAAAGGCCAACTGTCACATTCCCTAACTTTACTAAACTGATCATAGACTTAGGATAGCGGTCTGCAACGTCGGACACTAATACAAAGCCTGGGTCAAGTTAAGTTTCTGTTTCAGTTAGCTTCGCATATATCAGCACTTAAAGTTACTGAAAATATTGTCAAGTGACAAGTTCGGGCTACGAAAGTTGTAGAGTTTTGGCACAAACTTGGACAGTCTATAAAGAGCTATAGTTCTGTTGTAGGAAACGTCACAGGAGACATAAAACTCAACTAACCAATACCAGGATTGATAGGAATTTTAACATGGCTGTCGCAACGTTGCTTACAAAATGAATCAAACATTATTCTGGACATTGGTCAAGTTGATAGAGGAGTCTAGAGACAGAGGAGGGTATGAGGTGTTGTTATTATATGTAGGTGTCACATGTCCACACTGGTATTTATTGCAATAATAAAATAACTGAACTTTCATCAACTGAGTGTTCGGCATCAGATAATTTAAGGAGACCTTCACCACAACAAATACTGAGTTTGTTTACATAATTGGAACAGATGCAGTGATGAATGCACTAGATTGCTTGTGGTAGTTTGTATTGCTCGCGTTGAAAAAAGTGTATACTATTCAACAATATATGTCATTGAAATAAACCTGTTGGGGCTGTTTTATTACAATTGAATTAAATTCCTTGCTCCAGCTTTTCAGTCACACTCATGGTTGGTATTAATTGAGTTTCTTTCTGTTCCCATCCTGTAATTAATATAAAATTATTTCATTTCAAGCTCCGATCTGTTGTTAATGAATAGACATGGACCTTTGAAAAGATGGATGATTGTATGATTTATCTATAACTGAATTTGTCAGCCATGTTATCCAACTCAGTAATTGGATCAAGGATCTGTGGAACTCATTGTTCTGTTGTACATGTAGAGATGCACAAATATAATACAAAATAGGAAAAATGTTTAATATAGAATCAAAATAACTTATATATCTTTTATACACACTTCTGCTATAATCATAATCAGTTGATACTAATATTTTATTTGAAAAATTCCATTTTGGAATGATCTTAATTTCGTTTATAAAAATCACATCCCAGTACTATGTCATACCTGTAATGTTAAGTATGTTTGCGAAGGTTTCAAAATTTCCTTTCAAATCAGAATTCAGAGAGAGACACATTTAAATGATAATGAATTATTCTTATCAACTTTATTGCAAAATCCATTTGAAATTGATATTGAGTATGCAAGGAAATAAATGAATGTGTAATCCATGTGTAGTAATGAAAGGTGCTTGGACCTCTTGCCAACAACCTCATTCATTTTACCTTTTAAAAACATATCCAGATTTGGATGTCGTTTCCTCAACTCCCTAGCTCTTTCTCACGATTCAGAGCAATCATAAAAGAATAATTTGTCGATCCAGAGAAAAAGCAATCTCTATTTCACTGTCAGTCCAAGAGAAAATGAACTATATGAGCATTTTCAAAGGGATTAAAACTTGCAGCACAATATGAGCTTGCTGGTAATGCCTGTCTTATAATTAGTCATCCAGATGTAGTATGTTAGACCCTGAGACCACCATGGTGGATCACAGTTTCTAATTAAAACCATCGCCTACAAATAGTGGAGGCTAGATGAAGGGCTTGGGGAAGGGAAGGGTAGATTAACTATTTTCATATCAAAATGTGACCTTAATGTTTAGGTATTCCCACCTGCCCAACTGCCATGGCTGATATTTGCTTTGGTACTAATCTTTCCTACATCAATGTCGGAGTTCCATGGCGTGCTTTTTGTATCACTTCCTGTAACTTAATAAAGGCCATTTGTATGGCAGTTTCAAACACCCCTCGTAACTGTTAAACCAAGCATTTTATATGGAATATTTATGGTGTTGGGCCTACGACATAAATTGCTTCAGTTTCATAAGTCTTGCGATGAAACAAAATGCATATGTTGGTTTCATTATTACTGCGTAGTGTTTACCAACAACTGTTTGTGTATGTTGGTCCCATTCGTCCAGTCTTCCCGGTTCTTAATGAAGGAGCTGTGCAACCAGTATTATGTGTATTTAAGGGGCTCTTTTTGTAGCAGAAATAAATCATTCAAAATGATGTTATAAAATATGTCATGTTTTTCCGCATAGTTTTCCAGTAACTGTTGTGTCATTCTATCAGTGAGATTGTACTGTAAATAATCATTTTATGAAGGTCATAAATTTATTTCAAGTGTCCTGTTCAGGAGCAATTAATTTTTGTTGCTGACATTCATGATTTTGTTTGAGGGAAGCAAGGAAGAATGATACATCGATTATTGACAGTTGAGGGGCACAGGTGGCCCAGCGGTGTAAGTTGCTGTAGTTCACAGTGTAGATTTGCATCCCTTAGTCATGCCAGGATCTGCTGCTCATGGGTTTGAATTCCAGATTAGCTTTGCTTATGATACTAGTTCTGTCAGTGACATTGATTTGCCAAAGACCTCCTTTCTTCAGGCCTTCCCCATACATTAACTTGACACACCATGATATTACTACAATCCTCTTCAAGGCACACAAGTGTCAGTTGCAAGGTTTAAATGGCAGCATTGTTATATTCTGTTGGAACAAATGCCACAGCCTGGTGTTATGATGGGCTACACTACATTGTTCCAGGTTCCAACATGCATCTTTGTCACATCCAAAAAGCTCAGTTCAGTGGAAACGTGACCAAATCAGATGTTATTATTGCAGGTCATTGTAATGCCACCTGGTTTTATTAAAATGGTTGAACAAGTTTTATATTTGTAATCTGCATCAACCAACAATGCAGATATACATCACCAGGTGCCATGGAAACGGTTGAGCGAGTATATATCCTAACCTGCATAGTGATATCATTGATTGAACTCGCAACATATATACCTCCCATTTAACTATCTCCCCCTCCCCCGACCATACTTCTATAGATCAGTGTGTCAGCTATACAAAACAAAATCTGATACTACTGTTTGTCAGACACTGAAATATGATATTATTTCTATACCTGTCCATCTGTATCTTGGTTCCTTGATCATAGCTCCAGAAAAGGTTTCAAGAAATTTCACTCTTATGAACTAAGTGTTGCTTCTTACAATGTCCAAGTTTGCAATTTGATTACTTGGAGACATAAAATATTTCCTTTGTGTAAAAAATGCTGATTCTTATGGCCCAGTGAATAGTGTATAAACTTTAATGTCTGTCTGTATTTACATGTATTTACTTTGTACGTCCACTGTGGCATTGTCATCAGCTGGTTCAGTAGCTCTGGCTTACATGTTCAAGCATAATATGCTTCCATTATGGGATCAAATTTTGGCGGGGGTGGGGGTTAGAGGCTGGGATTTTGTATCAAGATTAGGTATTCTTTCAGCTACAAAACCACAATTGTTTAAAACTATGGGCCTATATTTTTACACCTTACAATAACAATGATATAAATTTTGTGGCAGGTAATTTCTTTGGGGAGAGGGGGCATTCATCCCAGGGTTTGGATAAGAGGAGGGCTAGTTCATGTGAGAGGGGTCAGATAATAATTGGTGGGCTAGGTCATGTGAGAGGGGTTGGATAATGGGTGGGCATGGTCTTGTGAGAAGGGTTGGATGATGAGTGGGCTAGGTCTTGTGAGAGGGGTTGGATAATGGGTGGGCTAGGTCATGTGAGAGGGGTTGGATGATGAGTGGGCTAGGTCATGTGAGCGAGGTTGGATAATGGGTGGGCATGGTCTTGTGAGAGGGTTGGATAACTGGTGGGCATGGTCTTGAGAGAGGGGTTGGATAACGGGTGGGCTAGGTCTTGTGAGAGGGGTTGGATAACAGGAGGGCATGGTCTTGTGAGAGGGGTTGGATAACAGGAGAGCTTGTTCTTGTGAGAGGGGTTGGATAACAGGAGAGCTTGGTCTTGTGAGAGGGGTTGGATAATGGGTGGGCTAGGTCTTGTGAGAGTGGTTGGGTAACAGGAGGGCTTGACAATACTTGGTATCATTTTAGCCAATTGAGACTTGGGCTTATAATGAAAGACATCAATGAAGGTTTATGTTTATAATACAATATCAACAGTGTGTTTTCTTACTTTCAGAGCAGAAAAAAACCCATCGAGTCAAGTCCGAACAGATCGGTAATTCTTTACATTTTCATATACAAAGATATGAGCAAAGTACTGCAAATTTTGCCTAATATGGCCAAATAAACTTTCATGGAGGTCTGTCAGTAAGCAGCAAGAAACAAGGTACACAATCTGATACCTGTGTTAGTACAAGTTTTACACGTTCAAAATGACATGCTGTAGAAAGTACAAACGTACAAATGATTTTTTTTAATAAGAAAATAAGGTGAGAAAAGAACATTGATATGGTCTTACAGAAACATTAGACTTCATGAATCTTTCCTCTCCTCTTCTACCTCACCCAGTACACCTTTGCCCTTGTGAAAAGATGACCAGAATATGTTCCTCCTAATCTATAAATGTTTTATCGCAAGCTAACAAATCATTATTGCTTCATGCTTTTGAGGATAATGCTGATCTTCGCACGAAGTGCATGTTGCTGATATTCGTTTAACAATTCATGTTGAAAGGACTATGTAGCTATCACTTATTGTCTTTGCCTTCTGCATCAACATTATGTCTCAAAATTACACTGATCCACACTAAAACAAGTGCTGGATAGATGCAAATGGTGAACAGACATCCCAGGGGATTCCGGATTAGTATTGGTCCCCATCAGTCTATCTTGTGCAACCATCTTAATGACTTAGATCATCAGGCTTGGTTGATGGCCTGTGATCGTACCCAAATGGCATGGATTGTTGCTCACAATATCAATCACTGGTTTGTCTGGTCCTGACTCTATTGTTTATGGGCTGCCGTCATGTTGCTGGAATATTGTGGAGAGTGGTGTAAAACTACAAACGGAAAGAATGCAGTATACCAAACCCCTTCCGCCAGTTTGGTAAGGGATTCCTCATTCCTTAGTGATGGTTTGAAAGACGCCATTTTTGTCTCCTATCTAAAATAACAGAGGGTTTGGGGAGTTTGCCCCCAACTCAACAGCTTGAGCATGTTACTAAAGAGTCCTCAGTGAAGATGAACAGTGAAAAAACATGCATATATCAACAGCCATACTTGAACCTCACACCCGACTGTTTTACAAATGAAGAGTCAAGTTGGAAAGTGCCCACCCTATAGAGGGCCATGGTCTAGACCCTCCTTGAAACATTTCAGGGGTTGTCTTTGTTGAAGAGCTTACCATAACTCCCAGTTTGGGATAGGGCTTATCAAGGTTTCCCCTTGAGATCAACTTTTTCTGACAGCCTTCTCCAGTTTAAAAATTTAGAAGATAGTCTCTGTTTATAAGTTTTTAAGATTTGATCAGCTTTTATATAATGAACAAAACTTATAAATGCCCTTATGACGAGGCGAAGTAAATTCATATTCTTTGCAAAGATAATCTTATCCATTTGAAATTGCGCTCCCTCATGTAGTTTGAATTTCTCAAAAAGATAAAAGTAACCTCAATGCTTGGACCTAAAAAAGGAGTGTTTGCCACAGCCCCAACTTCAAAACCTGTTCTCATAATTAGTAGCCACACATTCTTTCATTGCAAGTCGTGTATCTATAGGAACCCTAGGTTAATGAATACCTGTGCGTCTCTCGAATGTCACCAGCCGTCAATACGTAGGCACACCTGTTTTGATTGGTCTAATCACCCTCCCAGCGTCTGAATGTAATTACCTAGGGGTCACCCAGGGTCACCACAGCCTACCAGTTGACCCAATTTATTGCATTCAATCTGTACAAAGTATGAGGACTCTTTAATGGATGTGTGTGTAATTACCAAGTGTCTGGGAGCACAATGAGAAAACACAGAATATGATATTAGCTTGACAACTGCCTGTAGGTTTAGCTGAAATTTAAGATGTGCAAACAAGCTTGGGAGGGTGGGAAAGACTGGGTAGCTTCTTCCAGGCCACCAAGTTGATAAAACAATGTTTACAAAAGCAGTTTAGACCATAAAGATCCCCTTTTTTAGGAGAGAGTAAATGAGAAATGGCTTTAAAATGTTTTAAAGAAGTTCCTCACTGCTGTTAATTCCATCAAGTTAATTTGTAAGGAACAAGCCTCTCATTTCAATCATAAAAATGGCCATATTGTATTCATTGTGTGTTGGTTACAGCCAAGAAAAAAAACCTAGCTGAGTGTGAAACTGTTAGTGTAATACTATATGCTGGAAAGGTCTATGTGGGGGCTTGTTTACTCAACAGATTGAAATCATAAAATAAACAGCTGCCTATAGATGGTCTTCTTCTTCACTCATAACATGATGGTGCTGCATAGAATGTAAGCAATCATGTTACATTTTAATTTCTTTTCTTATGTTACGCTTTTGTAAATTATTGAATTTGAACTCCTTGAAGCCATTAGGGTTAAACCAACATTCCTTAAGTTTGTTAAATAAAGGTTTCTTTTTTCCTCATCGCGGCCTTCTTCATCATAAGAAAATTAAATTGATAAATACAATATTAACATATCTATTTGAAGCAGCTGTTCAAAATTGTGATCAGCATTTGACGACCTTACTTTAATACCTTGATTTAAAACTTTCATATTTTGAAGTCAGAGAGGATAATAAGGAATGCTGCTATTTGATGTTGGCAATCACTTATTTTCCTAAACAAAACTTTACCAACATTAGGAAGTAATTAGTGGAAAATAGTTTTGTGCATTTGCCAAGGATCTGTGTTGATCTCTGCTTGAGAGTTTCCACTGTCATGGGAATGGATTACTTTAACAGACTATTATTCAAGGGCCTCTGATACTGCATTGTTTCTGGTGTAGACTACCAGCACATGTGATAGTATTTCAATTAGAAGAAGATTTTCACATCAGTCATGCCTGAAACTGATGCTTCTGAATTTAATTTCATTATGTGGCATAATGTTTGATGTGTTGACAACCTATGGATCTATTCAGGATGGGACAGAAGTAACACTGGTAGAGAGAATCAGTTGGTTGTTGTTTAGACATCTACATAAGTATATCTATAAGAACATTGTCTTGAACTCTTACTAAATGGGTTTTATACCTTGTAAGAATTAGAGGGTAGCCCTATCATAGTGGGTTCCCTCAGGCTGAGATTTGAACCTCATGGATCTGTATACAATTTAACAGTTGTAATAGACATGCATGGCTTGCATGAGGGATGCTGCAATGCATAGATGAACATGCATTGACAGGCACACACACAAGTAGACAGGATGGGGGGCTTTTCTCTCTACCAATGCTTAACACTTCTTATAAAGATGAATGCATTTAGTTAAGGAATTTAAGCCAGTGAAAGTGTCTGAATTTGTGCATCTATATTCTTTACTATTACATCAATACCTTCTTGCAAAACAGTTTGGAAACATGCAGCAAGCAAGAGATGTCATTGTTGTATTTTCAGCATTTGTAAAGTATGACTATATGGGAAGTCACCATGAACAAATAAAACTGGTGCACATGCAATTTGAATCTAGTGTTTTTACAGTTTGGATGTACCTGCTAGTCCTCACATCTTTTCACTTGTGCATTACCAAACATTATTTAATTTCCACATTTGTATCAGGGTTAGGCCGGGTAACTCAGGACCTCGGGTTGGTTGGGTCATGAAAAGGATCCGGGTACCATATGCAGTATGTATGTTGTTTAATGACAGTAACAAATCTCCATGGTTTCACTACAAGTCACTAATGTTTGCATTTCTTTCTGGGCCCAATAGGACGTGATGTACGCAACTCTTGACACTTACAGCAGGTATTCGTACATGTTCAGGTAATAGCTGGTCGGGTACCCGGGTAGTAAATTTGGACTCGTCCCAGCCCTAATTTCTATTGTATATCATGTTGACATTAATGACACAACAAGACATATTTAAATTAACACTAAACTAAACACACTTTTCAAGATTGGTTATATGTAAGGTCATGAAACTGCTTTTCAAATAAGTTGCAACAAACAGTTAGATTTATTGAGTTTTAAAATTCTCTGTTTATGTTTTCATCTGATAGCAAAACAAAGATATGCAATACTCAACTTTGAAATCAAAAAAAGAAAAATGATGTATGTTCAATTGAAGTAATGTTGTAAAAGATAGATGTTCCTCCAATAAGGTTGGAATATTTTTGCTTGAAGAAAAGAGCTTGTCCTTTACAGCCAATGAGGTATTTATGCTGACTGAGTCTAAAGAAAGAACCTCATACTTGTGAAATAGGATCCCTTCAATTCAATTGGAATATACCACACACAAAAAAGAAAGATGGATGGACAGTGGGATAAAAATGTTGGACTACCTCCCTGATGAACTCATTTGGTGAGGAAACGTAGGGTAGAAGGGAGAGGCTGCAACATTGGGGTGTACTTCTAAGTGTGTTCCACAAGCATTATGGGCAAAACCTACATGTGAAATAAATTCGCTATGATTGGATAAAAAAACATGCGTTTAATGAAAGCCAATTCAAACAATGGTTTGGATGTTTTTACGTATCGTGTAGGTTTCAAAATCATGTGATAGAATGCCAGGAAGTGGTACGTTGCTCAATTGCCCAGATGGCAAACATTCACGTACTGAGGCGCATATGTCGGGGTTCAAAAGCAGCATGGCCTCGGAAAGAAAATATCTTTGCCGCATTGTGTGTGTGGCAAACCATGAGAGGCCCTTGTCTTGGAGGTGTTCGAAATTTACCCTTATTATTTTTGCCCCAAAACTGAATACTTTAATCCATTTAAAAACAGCATTGAGTGGCTGGTAATTTCAACGTTAAAACCTGCCATGTGTCAACTGCAACAGGTTTGAGTATTTGACGTGCAAATGCAATAAATAGGAGTTTCTTAAGTGTAAACAAAACACCAATTGCTGTTTATTTATATTTTGGACAAACGTCAGTATGCCAGAGGTTAAAACATACTTAAAAGTTTAGCCATGGAAAATTCTGAGCATTTAGCTACTTAAAGATTTAATTGTTCTTTTCTTTTAGAAAAATTGCTGACATAATGGAAATATGTGAATGCTTTTAAATACTGAATGAAAATAGATTACAACAGCAGTTTATGTGCTTAGTTTTGTTGCAAGAAACTTTAAT